CCAAAGTGAGCAAGTGGGAGTGGGCTGCCAGCCTGACAGCAAGGCTCGGATATGGGGAAACGCGCTATGCTTTTGTCCCAGTGTCCCAAATAAGGTCCCCCAGGTGGGCTGGTAGCCCCGTCGCCCAGCATCACTGCTCAGGGCAGAAGAAAGGGCTTTGAGGCATCTTCAGTCTTCTGCCATTCGGGTGCATTATGTGGCTTCTGTTGGGTTTGCAACATAGCTGTGTCCAAAAAGGCAAAGTTTGTGGGGCTGGATGGAGAAATGTGCCTTTCCTTCCTGCTGTTCTGTCAATGATCTCTCATGCCTGAGTGGATCCCTAAATGTTTTCACTGAATCCCCCCCAGAAACATTAGCCCACTGACAGTAAGATTTTTCTCCTTTAGTTACCTTATGTGACCCTTTAGAAGGAATTTCTGTCCCCCAAGGCCTGTGACCACAGCAGAAGATACTAGTAATGGGTGGATGGGATCTTTTACTTTTGAAGCATTTTGTTAACCGTCCTGTTGTCCTCCCTACTCCTGATGTCATTCCCTGCTTGGCTGTGATGCAGACTGCTGGAGTCCATGATTCCTGTGAAGATGATTAATTTCCCACAGGTGAGTTCCCTTTTGCTGAATCAGACTCTGTGGCCAAGTGAATGTCCCACAGACACCTTCTAAAACTAAAGTAGTCCATGTTATTAAGGACCCGAGCCTGTTAGGTTTTCATCTCCCTGAAAATATTGGTAAACCCTTTCCTGTGGTAGTCCAAACCCCAATCTGCTGCCTTTAGTGCTAGTTCTAGACCTCTAGACTTCACACATCCCTGACTCCTCATCACACAACCTATTCTGCCTGGCTCCTGTCAGCAGTGGCCTTGCTGTTACTTCTCAGGTAGATAGGTGATAAACTTCATCCAAGGCACTTCTCGCATCACTCGGGGTGGGGAGCCTGGTATTCAGGAGCACTAACCAAACCTTCCCTGATCTGTCTCCTTCTGTAGAAGATTGCAGGCGAGCTTTATGGACCCCTCATGCTGGTTTTCACACTGGTGGCCATCCTCTTGCATGGGATGAAGACCTCGGACACGATCATTGTATGTCAAGTCTCAGTGATAAGCTGTGGTTTGACTGGGCTCTGGATTACTGTAATGACACTAGAAAGGGAGAGGAAACCTCTTCCATGACTGAGTAGCATCTTGCTGAAAAGAAGATTGATTTGAAGAAGAGCCTGTTGGTTTGGGGATGGGAGGAACCATGCATGATAAAGTCTTGATGCTCTGCTGCTGGGAGCGCTGGGGTGTCGGTCACATGGCACCCTGGGTGCTGCTAGTCAGCTATTCGATAATGCCTAGAAAGACTCTGGGAATTCTCTGTGGTGGGATTTGGGTGCTGGCAGGTCACTTAGAATCATAGAATAGAACACAAGATGTCTCGAGTTGGAAGGGACCCATAAGGGTCATCGAGTCCAACTCCCTGCTCCTTGCAGGAATAACTAAAACTAAACCATACGACTAAGAGCGTTGTCCAGACGCTCCTCCTCGTTTCTTCAAGTCCTCCTCATCCTGATGCTGTCTCCACAGAGGGAAGGCACACTGATGGGCACAGCCATTGGCACCTGCTTCGGTTACTGGTTGGGCGTCTCCTCTTTCATCTATTTCCTGGCCTATCTGTGCAATGCCCAAATCACAATGGTGCAGATGCTGTCACTGTTGGTATGTACAACTGGGGATGCCCCAAGGTGCGGGTTGGCTGCACAGTGTTCCAGCACGAGGGTGGCCTGTGAGGTCTTCCCAGAGAATGGGAAAAGTCCTTGTAAATCAGTGGTTCCAGGTGACTGCACTGGGACAACCTGGAATTCCAGGATGCCCTTCTGACCTGCCCCATCCCAGGCACAGTTACAGCACAAAGAGGCAGTTCCTTCGTGCAGGTCTCCTGCTTTGCACTTCCTGATCTGAGAGCCTGGTGGTAAAAAACGAGGAGATTCCAATTTCTTCAGGAATCAGAAACTCTGTTTCCCAAGTTGTTGCAATATCTGACATCCCTATGCATCCTTCAGACACATTATCTGGGCATGAGCTGCTGTTAAAATTGTTGTGCTGGTTGACTCTTTGGCATTGAATGAGTGGTTTGTGAAGCTTTGCCTTGGTGAAGCGTTGCAGGAATAGGCTGCTCATGCTCTTGATTAACAGCCCTTTGTGTAGGACTGACGCTTGTAACATGGACATTTTTGTTTTGTCAGGGCTATGGCCTTTTTGGACACTGCATCACCCTCTTTGTCACCTATAACATCCACTTCCACTCCCTCTTCTATGTCTTCTGGTTGGGTGTTGGTGGACTCTCTACACTACGAATGGTAAGGGACAGGCAGCTTGGGGCCCTCCTCTTCCGGGGACAAAAAAAGGGAGGGGAGTGTTGTTTGCTTTCTGTTCCTTGGGCCAGGCAGTTCATTTCACAGCCAGTCAGGCTGCTGTGAAGAACAGCCTGATGCTTCTGGGTCATTTGGCCACTGGTGTATGGAGGTGACACTTGTCTTAATATCCTCACACGTTGTAACAGCTGCAGGAGGTTTGCTCCCTTACAGCCCCTGCTGCTGTGGCGAGCCATGCCTGAGCATCCTGAACTCTTGACAAGACTGAGCAAGGTTCACCTACACAAAACAAAGTCTGATTACTCTGAATTTGGTGACACAAACTGCAGAAAAGGCTCTGAGCAGTGTTTCCACTGGCTCTTGCTACTTGGAACATCCTCCTGTGTACTCCTGACTGCAGTGCCAGAGGCTCGGGTAGCAGCTACCTTGTCTCTAATCTCCACCTCTCTCCTAGGTTGCTGTGTTGGTGTCGCGCACTGTGGGGCATACCCAGCGGCTCATCCTGTGTGGGACCCTTGCTGCTCTGCATATGCTTTTCCTCCTCTATCTGCACTTTGCTTATCACAAGGTGGTAGAAGGTAAGCAAGGGAGATATGAAGACATATCCTGTTAGATCTGGGGGAAGAGGAGCTGCTTTTTGTTCTCTCTGAGAGAAAGGAATGGACAGTTTGGATCTGACCTGAGGGCATCTGTGCTAGTTTGCAATCCAAGAGTGACCAGCACTAGCTTTATTAGAGGAAACTCTCAAAGCAGGGCAGCAGGCAGATGTGGGGTAGTCTCTGTGCACTGAATTTTAGTACTTACAGTACTTAGGTCCTAAGTTGTGAGGCAGGATGCTTATCCTTTCCCCACAAGCAAAGTGTTACAGCACTGACTGTTCTTGCATGCAGATGTCTAGTCCCTTCCTGAATCTTGCTGAAGTCACGTTGCTTTTCTCTGATCAGGAAATGTGTCATAAGTCTTTTTCCTTCTTTGTGTAACACCTTTTTTTATCTTATGTTGTACAATGCTGATAGCAGAAGCTGCACCTTCCCCAGTCAGTGCTGTTTACCAGGCTCTTTACCATTCAAGTCCCCTTAAAAAAAAAAAAAAAAAAAAAGCAAGCCCCTTTCTGAGTTTAGGCAGCCAGATCTGATCATGGTATTGCAGCTAAATCTGCATAATTTGGGGTTACAGCACAGCATTACAAGTCCTTTGGATATAAATACTGTTCTTTCCTGGATCCATTCTTACGGTGAAAGTTCTGAGCCCTGATCTGCAACTTTTCAGCAGATGAAATAGAAAGTTGCTTGGAGTATATTTTATCCTTCAAGGTTCTCCAAGACTGATGATCAGTCTTGAGAAGGTCGTTGACAGGAACTGGAGGACACTTGCATCAGTACGCATGTGTACTGCCAAGCAGGGGCTATGTTCACATTGCAGTGACAAAAATTACGCATTGCACCCCCAGCTGCAGCTTGTGATGTGAGTCTGCAAGTGTGTCTCAGGATGAAAGCAAAGAATTGATCTAACAGCAGGGTCTGTGCTGGGATGAGGTGGGGAAAGGATTATATCAAGCTGCCTCAGCAGAGCAGTAGCCCTGGCAATGTCTGCTTTTGGGTCAAATGACAGGTACCCTCAAAGTGAAAGGATATGTGTTCCTCTTCGGAGCATGCAGTTTCCCTGCCCCAAGGACAAGCTCTGATCTGTACCCTGTGGTCTCTGGATGGGGGTGTTTACTGCTGTTCATTTTTGGGGGCTAGATGTCTCCTCCCATCGCCTCTAAGTGCTTCACATGTCTCGGGCCCTGCCACTATCAGCCACTGCCTGGCCAGAAAGAAAAGCAAGAAGAATCATGCCATCTGCATCTGAACTAACTCTTGCCACTCTCCCCTTTTTTCCTGTTCCGTGCAGGTATCCTGGACACACTGGAAGGACCCAACATGCCGCCCTTTCAGAGAGTTGCCAGAGACATTCCAGTTGTTTCCAACGCTGTATTGAACACAACAGCCAAAGCTGTTGCATTGACCCTGTAGTTTCACAGACTTGGACTTGCTTCCTTCACTACTTTTGGGGCTGCTTAGGGCCATAATAACCTGCTGCCTCTTAGGAACTGGACAGAACAGCAGGAAGAAGACTTGGTTTTGTTTTCCTGGACCTGTGCTTTGGGTTGCAGTTTTGGGCAGCTGACTGGACTGCACCTCAGTGACTCAGAAGAACTACACTCTTCCCCCACCCAGGTCTGGGCTGTCTTGAGTAGAGCGGT